ATGCTAAACTGTGGCTCCTCCTTGTCCTGTGGGCATCCACTGGGCACGCCTCATCTGCCTGCTGGAGTTGGTGGCCAGTCCCCTGCAGAGCTGTCTCATGTCTTAATGGGGAGGGAGCCGGTGGCCTCAGAACTGCAGACCCCAATGTTCTGCCCTAAAAGATAAGCGGAGCCCCTCCCCAACCTGTGTCTCCCTGGGGGTTTCTCCAGACCCCCTGCCCCTTGATGCTGGACCTCACCTCGCTAGGCTGCCTTTCACCACCCAGGCCCAGCCTCTCAGCCCAGATCCCAGGGCCTCACAGGTCACCTGGAGGAACAGACCTCAGCCTGGGAGACCTCCTGGGTCCCTACCTCCTCCCCCATCCTTAGTAAGCCCCCCAGAGCTGGGCCCAGTGGTGTTCCCCTGGAGCCCCTGGGGGGAAGCAGGATGGGCTTTGGTGTGGACAAGGAAGCAGATTCCACCCCACCCAGGGGTGGGACTCCACCTAGGCCAGGCAGGGGGCAGCGGGGCCCAGGGTTGCCGGGCGTCACCTTGGGTCTGAAAGGTCAGGCTGGGGACAGGTCAGGGGAAGGGAAGCAGGGGCCCCGAGGTGTGGGTGACAGACCGACCCCACTCATGGGGCATGACCAGGGCCCCCACACCCTCTGCCCCCTAGACGCAGGTGTCACCTGGGTCTTACTCCCACTGAGCTGAGGGCCCCGGCAGGGCTGGACCTTTGGGCACTGCCCTGCATGAGGTGAGGTGAGCACGGCCCCTGGGCACTCCTGGCCCCGTGTGCCCAGGGTGGGAGGGTAGGGGAGAAAGGTCAGCGACCAGACACTGCATGTCCCCATTACTTGGTTGGGCAGCCCTTTTGTCCTCCTGACCACTGCCTTATGCCCAGACATCCAGGGCACCACCCAATACTGTCTTCTCAGGTCTCCTGAGTGGACCGCTGTCCACTGTGGCCTGTAGAGGGTCCCAGGGGCGCCCCTGCAAGTGTGGATGCAAGTCAAGAGCAGCTGAAGCCTTGTTCACTTGTGATGCCAAATACACACACCTTCCTCAAGACCTGACCTGCACGAAGCCCAGCAGAGTGGGCAGTGTGATGGGGGGCAACTGTCCATGTCCAGACCCCCCCCATCCCCGCAGGGCCCCATCCCCACCACTCATCCCCATCCGGACACCACGTGCTCCTCAGCCTAAGCTTGTCCCCAGAGATGGGTGCAAGGGCCTTTCCTCATCTGTGCCCAGCACCTGTGGCCTCCGGGCTCCACCTGGGGGGCCTCCTCGTTCCACCTGGCTCACCGCTCTGACGGTCCATGTCTCACCTGAGGTCTTGACCACAAGGAGGTGCGGGTGGGGAGGAGGTGTCCCTGAGGGAGGCTGGGGAGCCTGCTGGAGGGCCGTGTGTGTGTGTGTGCATGGGCACACATGTGCAGTCAGGGTCTTCACAGCCAGCGCTCTGCTTAGCCTGTCGCGAGGGGCTTTGGAGCTGGGCCAAGCGCAGTCCCTGGGACTCCAGGCTCATCACCTTCTCTGGCCTTCATCTCTGGATGTGACCTTTCACCTCTGGATGTGACCTGCCAGCACTAAAGGGCCCTGGGCACCCCAGCCCAGAGAAGACAGAGTAGGGGCCGTCTGACCTCAAAACCCCTTTCCTGAGCTCTTGCTGAAGGGGTCAGAGAGCCTCAGGGAGAAAAGGGCCCCTCCTTGGGGATTCCTGGCAGCCCCCCACCCCCACTTCTGGTCCCCAGGCTCGGGACTGCCACACCAGCCAGGGCCTCTGTAGGGACCCCCTGGTCCTGTCCCCTAGACTGGCCTGTGCCCCCCTGCCCACATTGGTGCCGGTTCCCAGGCCCCTCCCCTGAGGCTTAGGGTGAAGTGAGCCTGGGGCAGGGGTGCTCCTGGGAACCTACTCAGCTCCCCAGCTTCTGTCCCTGCCCTGTGGCCCCCACCCCCAGCTTTCACTTCTGCTCAGTCACAGGCAGCCAGGGCCCCACCCCAGCATCCTGGGCTCTCAGCTGTGCCTGCCCGTCTCTGTCCTGGGGTCTCCACCCCTCCCCTAGGCTGCCGGCCCCAGAGCCTCAGTTTGGCCCCCCCCGCCCCCACCCAGCGTCCTGTGGTCAAGGGGGCTGACCGCAGGCCGAGAGCTGGGCCCTTGTCTGGGGAGGCGGGTGCCAGGCGCGCCGTGTGGAAAGAGGAAGCCGCCTGCCCTTTACAGGAACAGCTGGCACAGCCTGTCCTCCCTCCTCTGACCCCTGGCCCTCAGTGTGGCCCCCAGTTCCACCCCACCCACACCCCCAGCACAGCCCAACTCTGGCCAGCAGCCCCCTCCCTGGCCCACCTGGCCCCAGACCCCAGCCTGCTCTTAACCCCCACTACCCGCTCCCTCGTCTCTGGTAGTCTTGTCCCAGGGTCACTCCTTGTTGGCCAGGAAGAGGGCGGCTGGAACATGCCACGAGAAGGTCCAGGTCAAATCAGGCTGCTTCACAACGTCCCAAGGCCTCTCCCCACACCATGCTCACCAGGGAGGGGGTGACCCACTGCAGGGAAGTGGAATCCCATAGGGAAAAAGCCGTGCTGGTCTGTCCCTCTGGCCTAGGCCCCAGGCTAGTCTGTGCCCTCAGGAAACGGTGTGGCCGTCAGCAGGATGTGAAACCAGGGCATGGAGGGGATCCTGTGTCCTCCCCACAGAAACCCCTGTGCTCAGGGGACAGCAGCCCTGCACCCTCCTGTGTCTGTCCTGCCCGCTGACGGGTGACCCTGGGAAGGGCCGGGGCAGAACTCTGGGGACCTCGGTGCCTGCTGGCCCCTGCCCCCAAGGGTTGAAGATGTCGGCCCTGCAGGCAGCCCCCGACATGGGGCCATCTGTGCCCAGGCCTGTGCCAGGGCTGGGGCCGCTGGGCGGGACTCCCAGCCCTGGAGCAGGTGGCCCCATGGCAGGGGGTGGGCAGGCAGGTGGACCTGGCTTGTCTTGGAGCATCCTGTTCCAGTCAGGTGTCCGGCTGGGCTGGGGTCGGGTCTTCCTGCTCTGTGCCTGGCCTGGCAGGCGCCCTGCTGGCAGGAAGCTTGGCCCAGGCTCTCCCGCGGGTCACTCCTTGCTGCCATGGAGGCCTGTTCTGGAACCCTCAAGGGATAAGGCACCGTGTGCCGGAAGGACTTCGAGGTCACCCTCTCTGTAAGGCCTGGTTGAGCATGTGTGTCCAGGGCCACTTGGGTCCAGCAGAGAGGGCAAGCAGGTACCTGGCTGAGCCCTCATGGTGCAGCTCTGCAGCCCTAGGGAGGCGGGTGGTGTCAGGTCCCCCCACCCCTCTCCGGGCACCCAGGCAGGCTGTGGGTGTGGCCGTGGGGCCCACACCCTGGCAGCTGAGTGTTGGGGTGCCTGCCCTCCCCCTCCTTGTTCCCACTTCTGCCCCTCAGGTTCCCTCCCCCCATTCTCCTCTCTCACACCAAGTCAGAAGGTGCCAGGTGCCCTGCCAGCTGGAGATCAAGTGTGCACAGACTCGGGGCAGGGCCCACCCCACAAGCCCTCCTAGGCTCCACCTTCTGTCACCCTGGGGCCCCCAGGTCCACAGCGAGGGCTGGGGTGGGGGCCTGCCTGAAAGCCTCCAAAACCAAACCTCCCTGTTCTGGCCAGGAGGGTGGAGGTGGGCAGCTGCTGACCCTGGCTGGACCTTGAGCATGTCTAGGCCGGGTGGGCAGAAGTGGCTAGGAGGGCTGGGTTGGGCGTCCAGGGCTGTGTCCACAGTATCCCTCCATGGGGCGCCCACCTGAGTGGCTGGCAGTGGGACCGCCAGGACAGGTGCCCTGAACACAAGGTGTCAGACAAGGGCACAAGTGGAGACCCCGACCCTGTCCAGTGAAACCCCTGGGGCTCCGCTGGAGAAGAGGCAGGGCTGGGCCCCCAGAGGCTGGATGGGAGACCCAGGTCCTCAGGCCCAGGACAGGCGTGGCCCCTTGTCTGGAGCTGCTGGTGTCCTGGCCTTGCAGGCAGGCTCTGCTCCAGTGAGTGTGCACACTTGCTCACGTTTAAGGACAGACCTGGTGGCAAGGCCAGAAGGAGAGCACCAGTACCCCTGCTCCACACGCCTGGGGCTGCCTTTGTGGAGGTGGACAGGCTGAGTGACCCAGAGGTGGGGCTGCAGCCGGATGGGCTGCAGAGCCGGGGCGGCCAGGTCCCGCTTCTCCTGTTCCCCTCCCCTCTTCTCCCACAGTCCACCCTTTGGCTTCGATCAGGCGCCGAGAGCTGCAGGGGTTAGGCAGGGTGGCTCATTCCCATGGGTCCAAACCCCCACCATGCTCTGCCGACGGCGGGGCCTTGACCTGCGGGACGTGTGGCCCACACCCCAACTTCCTGTTTCTAAGAAAAAACAGTCCCAGAAAAGGCTCTGGTGGTGTGTGGAGGAGGCTCCCTGCCAAGGCCGGGCCGGCGGGGAAGGGAGTTGCTGCGTGCAGAGGGCAGTAGCCGGCGGGCCAGGCAGGTGTCACCGGTCCGTCACCGGGGGTGTCTGCCTTCCCCACGGCTGCTTCCCTGGCGGGAAAACAGCAGTGGCTCGGACACGCCCAGCGCCGGGAGGCCCAGCTGGTCCGGGATCCTCCGCCCAGTGCGGCCTCCCTGCCTGGACGCGGGGCGCACCCCAACCCTGCTGTGCCCTCGGGCCTGAGGGAGGGGGTGGGCCGGGAGCCCGGGACGGAAGGCAGCGCCGTGGGGCGCCCGGGTCTCCCTCGGCCTGGATTTACCCTAGAACCCGTGAGATCGCGCGACCCGGCCAGACGCCAGGGTTGCCCCCAGCCCTGGAGTACCACCCCCTCCTTTGAGGCAGACTAGGCCCGGCCCCCTGCCCCGCCCCCTCCGGGCGGAGGGCGGGCGGGAGCAGAGAAGCCTCGGGAGAATTATAACTCCGGTTCCAAACATTCCAAATTCCTGCTCCTTCCGGCCTGGCCGGAAGCCGGGCTGGGGAGGGTGCGCAGGTCCGGGGGTGGGGAATGGTTGCAGGCCGTTTTGGGGTGAACCTGAGCCCCTCTGCCACCTCCCTTGCACGCGGCTCCAGGTTCCCGGTGCCGAGTCTAGGGCGGCGGGTACGGGGGCTACGCCCTACTGGGCAGAGGCTGGACACACCCCAAGGCTGCACGGCACCCCAGAAGGCCTCTCCCAAGTCACGCGGGCCTCAGACGCCCCGCAAACGCACCGATGGGAGTACATAACGTGAACCCGAGATACACCCCAGCACGCGGTGTCCGTATGGGGCACGACGCCCAGTGAGTCAGGCAGAGTGTGTGTCACCGCCGGAGTGAGTCACCGAGAGGGTGTGCGCCCCTCATGGGCGGTGCCAGAAGCCTGGGGGGCGGGCGCAGCCCGCCCCAGGGAGGCCACGCCCCAGTTGGGGACTAGGCAGATTCCCCCCACTTCCTTCCGCGAAGCTTCCTTCTGCGATCCAGCGAGGCTCTTCAGGGCCGGGGAGGGGCGCGTGTTGCGCCCCAGTCCACGGCCGAGGGGCTTCCCGGGAAGGGCGGGGTCACCGGGAACGCTGGCGGCCGGGTCCGGAAGGGCCGCGCGGCTGCCGCGCCCCCGCCCCGCGGCCCCAGTTTCCGATGACGCGTCTGCAGAAACCCCGACGCGGCCCCTAGGCTCCGCTGCCCGGTTTCACTTCTCCTCCCCCTGCCCGGCGTGGGGCGCGGGGCTCAGTCCGCCTTGGATTCCGATGGGGGTGGGCACGGGGGCGCTTCCGGCCGTGGGGCGGGGTCGACGAAGGGGTTACGACGGGGCGGCCCGCCCCCCCCCCCAGGCCCCTCCTCTCCACGCCTGCGCCGGCACCGGGGGGTGGGGCCGCGCGGTACCCCGCCGCCGCGAGATCGATCCCCTCCCCCGCGAGGGGCGGGATCAGGTTCAGGCCCCGTTGGGGGTCTAGCGGGCCGCGACAACCCCCACCCCGCAGCCTGGGCGCGCCGTTCGGGGGCCCGGAGGCGGTGCGCGCTCGGGAAGGAGGGGGCGGGCCGCAGGAAGTGCGCCCTCCCACCGCGTCCTGAGCGCAGTGACCACCTCCCGCCCGGCGCGCGGGGGAGAATTGGGATGGCGGGAGAGAGAGGGGTACTCTGGGGAGGCGGCGCCTCGCGGGCACGTTGCGCTGGAGCGAGCCCTCGCTCAGGGGTAGGGTGGTGGCTCCCCGGTTCTCTGAGCGTCTTCCTTGCGGGGGCGGACGGGCGCTGACGTGTCCACGCGTCTGAGTGCAGCTAGGTTTGGGGGGGTCGGGAGGGGTGTCGGCGCGGCCCCCGGCGGCGGAGGTGGGAACTGCAGCTCCCAACCGAACGCGGGGAGGGGCACGCCCTGGGGTCCACATTCGAATAGGGGGTTCAGCTCAGCTTGGATGCTGTTTTTCTGTGGGGGGTCGCTTGCTTAGTATGCCGGTTCGAAGGAAAACCCGATCCTTTAAAATTCCTTGAATTCTGGGAGCGCGATCCCACTGGTGTGGAAAAGCATCCCAGTGCCAAAACCGTGCCCCACTCAGTACAGGCTCTGGGCCCCATTTCTCTGCAGTGTTCCCCATCCAGGTCCCTCATCCAGGCCGGACTTTATCCTAGTCACTGCTAGGCGGCTAAGCACTTCCTCTGGAGGGGCAACCCCAGGGCACCCCAGCAGCCAGGGTGGGAGGTGGGATGGACCTTGAAGGATGTGACCAAAGAAGGCCGTAGTGACCTGCTCCCCCTGCGTTACACTCCCTCCTTGTTTTCTCTAGGCTTGATTATCTCTTTCCCTGAGCCTCTCCGTCATCAGGATGGTAAACCCCTAGTCCACACGGCTTACCTCTCTCTGGCAATGTCCAACACATGGACCCCCCCTCCACCCCACTGGCTTCCTGCCCTCCACCAGCTCACCACAGCTGGCCAGCTCCTTTCCCAGCCCTCCAGTGTAACGCTGGCCAGCAGGTTCTTGCCTAATCAGTACTTGCATGGTGCCCAGGTGCACCCCAGCCCTGACCCTGGCATCTGCCTGATTGCTACCCTTCATGTCTGCTCCGTCTATTCTAGCGGTGTCCTCAAGAGGAGCTCACCACGGATGAGCCCACAGGATGGGAAACTCCTGGAGGGCCAGCCTGGCCTGACCTGGTGCAGAGGTCCCCATGACTGTTGTGGCCAGGCTGGCACCTGTGCAGGGGGGAGGGCCAGGGAGCACTGAGGGGGTGGGAGCTGGGCAACGCTCCTCCAGGCTGCCCCTGGAGGCAGGACTCCCATCCGGTCCACCCTGCTGGGCTCTGCAGCCCCATCCGTGGGAGGGCCTCTCCCTGTGTCGGGGCAGGGGGCAGCAGGACGAAAGGGGTGACACCCCTATGGGCAGTGACCAGGAGAACGGGTAGGAGGGCTGGCCTGCTGGCTCAGTATACCGTACATCTGGCGCACGGTCAGGCTGTCTCCGACTGATGACAGTCCTATTTATAGCTTCCACCAGAGAACGTCCCTGGCCGTGGCAGTGGGCACCCGCCTGCGCCTGGAGACCTCGGGCCTCCCGCCAAGAGGAGCCTAGGCGGGGGCCACTGTGGCCAGTGCGGGTCACTGCCTGGCTCGCTGCCTGTCCCGGCCGCTCCCCAGGCCTACTGAGGGGCCGAGGCAGGTCCCAGCCTGAGGAGAGGGCCTACTGGAGCCACCACCCACCCATCTCCCAAGGCCCCCTGTGCCCAACCCAGCCTGGCTCTTCCATCAGAGGCCCCGGGTTGTTCTCAGTGGCTGGCTGTTCCCTGCAGGGATGGGGCAGGAAGGAAGAGGCCTTGGGCAGCTGGCGTATGCCCCAGTGATCTGGCTGAAACAAGCCCAGAGACCCCTGCTGATGCTCCGAGGACCGAGGTTCCCAGGGTGCCTCGAGTCTGCAGTGAGCTGGCCACACTGCACAGGTGCCAGGCTGGTAGGCTGGTCCCCCTGCACCCTCCAGGAAGCCCTGCTTGGGGTGGCGGGAGGTGGTTCTCCACAGCTGGCCTCGCCACCTGCCTGGCACCGAGACTCGGCGGCCTGCCCAGGATGTGGAGAAGGGAGGCCTCCCCCGGCAGCATCCTGGGCGACCCACGGACCAGCGGGAGGGGAGGCCAGGAGGCGCTGCCTGTGCCAGGCTCTGTCCTGTGCTGACTTCGAGGCCGCTGCTGCTGGTCTGAGGGGCCGTGCCTGCCAAGGCTCTACAGGGAAGTGGGCTGAACGGAGGGCAGGTGCCCCCACCTTTCTCATCTCTTTGTCTCTGCGTCTTGTCTGTGGCTCCAGACTCCAGTCAAGGAGGGAAGACGTTCTGTTTCTGGTGGTTCCTGACTCAGGACTCAGGCTCGTGCTTGTCACTCAGTAAATGTCCATTACATGAGTGGACCATCCGGAGCCGATGCTGCCACCCTTTCAGAAGTCAGAGGGCAGGAGGGGGGCCCACGGGGGACACTGAGGCCCCAGGGGGAAAGGTGCCCTCGGGGTGTGAGGCACGTGGGGGCAGCCTCATAGCACCTCTACAAGCACCTCTGTCTGCCTGCCCCCCACCCTGGCATGGAGGTGGGTGGCTTGGGGGCCCACTTGGCCTGTGGGAGACCCCAGGAGGCCTGCTTCCTCTGAGAAGGTGGCCCCAGGGTCTTCAGGCCAGGGGAAGATGCAGAGTTCCCCCAGGGAGGCAGGCCTGCTGGAGCCAGCCATCTTGATGCTCTGGCTCTTCAATGGTCCAGGCTGGATGCCGCCCTCTCAGGACCCTCCTTCTCCCTCCTCAGCTCCTCCTCCAGCCGACATGATGGCCAGGCCAGCACCTCTGGCTGCTGCTGACTCTCCCTTTTTGGTGCTTTTTTTTTTTTGAGAATTCAGATTTTGTACAGATTTGTCTGTGGGACACAGGATTGGGGGTTCCTGTCATGGTAGGGGCAGTACCTCTGTGAACCTCCAGCTCCCCCACACCTTCAGCCAAAGTCCAGTGGGTTCCTGAGGCCATGGCCCCTGAAAGACCTGCTGGTCATCAACTCAGGTGCACTGGCCAGGAGTGATGCCCACACCCCACCCAGGACTCCTGCCAGGGGGTGGGCACGGGGTGGGGCAGGGGAAGTGCCTTTCACTCGGGACCAGAACTGCCGCGGGTTCCCCACCTCCCAGACTCCGAGCTGCCCCTGATCTCAGGTTTTGGAAAGTATAGAGGTTTCACTGGTCTGCATTTGGAAGTCAGCTTTGCTCCAAGCTGCAGGGGCCCCACATGAGGAGCCCCTGCCCTGCGTCCGAGTAGGCCTGTGTCCTCATGAGACTGGCCCTGAGCTTGCAGCCCTGAGCTTGGTGACTGGAAACCATGATGCCGGTTTGGAGTTCAACCCCAGAAGATGCCTCCTGACCGGGGCATGCGGGAGACAGCAGCTGCTTCTGTTTCCAGCGTTTTTGTTGTCTAAATTGAAACATCATTTTCATTGTTTTCCTTTTGACAGAAATGTGGTTTCATCTTGAGGAGAAGGAAGAGCTGCAGAGAATTTGCTGTCTCAGGCGGACCGGGTGAACTATGGTGCCCGGAGGAAGTGGTCTCAGGGGGCTTTCAGGGGCACGTGGCCCTTTGGCTCCTGGCCCCACACTTGGGGGTCCTGCTGGGAATCTGCCCCCACATTCATGCAGCCAAGTGTGGACACTGCTACCCCCCTCACCCCACAGCTCACCTGCACCCCCTTCTGGAGGGGACTGTCCTGCAGTCCCCTCTAGCTACTTCCATGCACTTTGGACAGGACAGAGACCCCTGGGGCCCAGACACGACGCAGGAGTCAGAGCTTCCCGAGAACAGGCCCCTCTGGGGACTCATTGCTGGGACACCATGGCCTATTACTCTCCTAACAGATGTTCAGAGGTCAAGGCCCGGCTGGACCGGGCTGACATCATCAGTGGCTGCTGGAGCTCCTGGAACAGAAAGAGGCCAGCAGGTGCGGCTTGCTCCAGGTACCCAGCAGCCCCCCCACTTCTCAGACTCAGACTAGGTCAGCCCTCTTTTTCCTGGACCCCCTTTTCCTCCCTGGCTGTCATTCCTCTCTGTTATGTTGTCTCAGCTAGCCGTTTGGGGGCTCAGTGCCTAGCTGCCCCACCTGCTCTGGGAGCCAGGGCCCAGCAGAGGCAGAGGTCACCTGGTTCTGCAGGGGGACCAGCTCCACCCCAGCTGCCCCTACTGCTAGCTGTGACTGTGTTGAGGCAGGTGTGTTGAGGGGAATTGGGTGGGAACCTACTAAGAGACAAGCAGTAATGGTGAAGGGATGGGTGCGTCCAAGGACATGACTGGATTGGTTCTGGTCATCAGACTCCTCTGGCCTTTCATGTGAGAACATAATGATCCCACGTAGTAATGGTATTAGTCTTCAGTTATGTCCAATTCTTTGCGACTCCATGGACTACTGTAGCCCTCCAGGCTCCTCTGTGGGATTCTCCAGGCAGGAATACTGGAGTGGGTTGCCATACCCTCCTCCAGACCTACCTCCTGCATCCATCCATCCATAATTACGTCCATCTCCACCCACCATCGCTCCTTCTGTCTGCCCTCTGCCTGTTCTTCCAGCTGTCCTCTGCCTCCTGTACCGTCTTGCACACCTCCTCTGCCTGTTTGTCTCCACTGCCTCTGGACACGTCTCAGAGTGGCTGCTGCACCAGCCGGGCGCTCCGCGTCCACCCGTTTGTTACAAGTACCTTCTGGGCACCTCCTGTGGGCCGCACACTTCACCAGGTGCCAAGCCCTGTGCTGGTGAACAGAACTGAAGAAGTGCCTGGCCTTTGGGAGATTCCTGTGTGAGATGCATGGCATGCTGGCCTGTAACACGTGTAGGGGAGGAGAGAGGTGGTGGCATGGGCTGGGGGGTGGGCAGTGTTGCTGGATGTGGGGCGAGGCTTTGGAGCAGGTGACCTAGGAAGGTCTTGTGAGCAGGTGAAGAAAAGAAAGTATTAGTTGCTCAGTCGTGTCTGACTCTTTGTGACCTCATGGATTGTAGCCTGCCAGGCTCTTCTGTCCATGGGATTGTCCAGGCAAAAATACTGGAGTGGGTTGCCATTTCCTTCTCCAGAGGATCTTCCTGACCCAGGGATGGAACCGGGGTCTCCTGCATTGTAGGCAGATTCTTCACCCACCAAGCAGATGAAGGGCACATGCAGAGGCCATGAGGCAGAGCATACCTGGCTCAGCTGAAGGGCTGCAGGGAGCGGGGGACTGTGGGGGTCAGGGCAGTGAGCAGTGAGGACCAGCTCTGGTCGAGCCTGCGGTCCTGGTCACGATGTGGCCCGACGGCCCCTTGTGTTGGGGAGGGGCACCGTGGTGAGATGGGTTGTGCTGCAGATGCACCTTGAGCACCCGTAGGATCATTGGGGGCAGGGCAGGGATGTGACTCACAGAGCTAGAGAACAGAGTCAGATGCTGACGGTTTGGGCCTTGACAACAGAAGGTTGTGGTGTTCTCCGTGGAGCAGGAAGAGCTAGTATGGGGCACATCAGGTTTGAAGGGCCCTGGAACCCTGCCCAAGTGGGCTGCCCCACCATTGCTGCTGGCCATGCGGCTGGGAGAGATCAGGAACCTGGAGGAGGGAGCAGGCTCCGGGCCCCAAGGCTGAGTCGGGGGTGGGGGGCGGGGCATACCAGGGCCAAGAGTGATGTCTGGAGCTCCTTGGGGTGTGCTGGATGGAGAGGAGGCAGTGGGCCCTGCTGGGAGTACTCATGGGTGGGATAGGGTGTTCATGGGGGAGGAGGAGGGCGTTGACGACCATAGGTGTGGGAGGGCAGTGGGTGCTGGACGGAGGGTGATGGTCAGGAGGGCTTTTAGGATGGGAGATGGCAGCTGGGGCTACAGTGGCCAGTCCACCCTGGCCCAGAGGTGACTGCTGGCCAGGACCAGAGCTCTCTGGGTGTCCCTTCCCCCATTCCATGAAGAAAGCAGGTGGTCAGGTTGGGGACCTGACTTGACCATCAGGAGAGGCTGGGGATGAGTTCATTCCTTCTGGATGCAGGGAGGTGGGGGGCCTTGGATCTGAGGCTGGGGTGTGGTCAGCCCCAAGTAGGGGGTTGGCTGACCCCAGGCTTCCCGGTGTGCTGGGCCTCTATCTCTGACCTGAGGCCTGGTTTATCCGCTGGGATTGCATTTCAGAGGCTGCTGTAACATCTGAGAAGCAATCCCTGCAGACAAGGCCTCTCAGTTCAGCGTGTGACCCAGTCACCAGCCGGTGGCCTCTTGATTTCCCATTTGGGAGCTGTCGCGGCCCCCAGATTTGGGAAGGCCCCTGAGCTGCCCTCCAGGGCAGGGATGGCAGGAAGCAGGCACTGGCTGGCCTGGGCTCACCCTGGGGAAAGCATGGATGGTGCAGCTGAGACAGCGGAGAAGGGCACTGGTCACACCACCCGCCCAGCCTTGGGAGGCCCAGATGACCCGGCATGGGTCTGGGTGTTCAGACAGGGGCCGCGCCCTCTGGTTAGCACTCAGAAGTGGTTGTTGAGCATTTTATTAAAGCCAGTGGCAGGAGTCTCAGGCATCCCTCTAGCTCAGGGCTTTCGGGTCTTCTCTGGGGACATGGGGCTGTTGGCCTGCCCCCCTTGCCAAGACCCGAAGGTGTTTGAAGGCTGTGGGCAGCGTGTGGCCCAGGAATGGAGGGGTGGTCACATCGCGAATCATGAGGACATACTCGCCTGCAAGAGATAGGCACGTGGACTCAGCTCCTGCCACCCTCAGATCCTCTGCTCCCACCCTCAGGGCCCCCGGCTCGGTGCCTGGTCTAGGGTGGCAGGCCTTTCTCTTCCAGGGGTACTGGGGGTACAGTGTAAGTAAGTGCACTGGGGGTGAGTGAAGCCACCTCCCATCTCAGGACAGAGGCCCAGCGATGGTTCTGTGTCCTTGGGTGGAGTAGGGGCCACACCAGGGATGCAGACCCAGCTCTGCAAGGTGGGCCCGGCTCAAGGCCTCCCGTCCCTGCCAGTGGGGCCGTGTGGCTGAGGGCAGGGGTTCTTTTGAAAATACTTTCCTATCTTTTAAGGAGAAAATTAACTTCCTCTAGAATGTTTTTTAAAAATAATTAGCCTCTGAAGACATGGCTGTCTGGCTTGTTTTGTGGGAAGGGGCAGCCCTGGGGGTGGGGTGGGGGGCCGCCCACTGGGGGACGTGGGGAGAGAAGGAAGTACTTTTCCTCCATAGTCTGTAAACTGTCTGGAGAGCTTCAAAGTTGGAGAAACCATAAAAAAGAAAATAAGAAATAACAGAAAGTGAGGTTGCCGTGGAAACCGTCCTCTCCCGCCCGAGCCCGCGGGGGCTGGCACCAGATCGCGGAAAAAGCTCGCCGGGCTGGCCGGGGCTCCCACCAGGAATGCAGCCGCGGCCGAGGGGGGCGCGGGAGTCCGCTCCCACCGTCAGGGAACATTCCAGCACCCGGGCCTGGAAAACAGGCCACCTCCCTGGCTGCGCGGCTGCCCTCCGACTCAGGCCAGCCTGGGGGCCCGTGGCTGCCCCGTGTTCCCTGGGGCAGACAAGAAAGGGCCTCTGGGGCTGGCAGGAATTTGCTCAGCCTTGAGTCAGTTCCTTCAGAAGAAACCACGGTTCTGGGGGGCCGGGGGGCCAGGAGGGGGCCCACATTCCGCAGCCGGGGCACCGGGCCTCCCTGGCCGGCCTGGAGGAAAACTGCGCATGGCAACGCAGAGTGTTTCCAAGCAGCCGGTTTCTAGGTGTTCCCGGGAACATGCAGCCACTCCAGCCGCGGCTGAGGGCGCCGACCGGTGGGGGAGTGGCCTCAGAGCCGAGCCCTAGCCCTCAGCTGACCTTGTTCCTGAGGCCGCCCTTCTCCCAGCAGATGGGAAAGGCCTGGCCGGGGGCCCCCTTGCCTGCCTCAGAAACCACCCGAGGCCTGGCCCCAACCGCCACGACCGCCACGTGGTCCTGCCATGGGCCCGGCGCCCAGCCCGGCCTGGCCCGGCCTGACCCACGTTTCAGAGCTGTCCACCTGGCTTTGCCCCTCACAGCCTGGACGTCCAGCCTATCCTCTGCTGGCCTCACCCAGGTGGTGCATGGGGTGGGGTGGGGGCAACCTCTCCACTGCCTCCTTAGAATGCAGGGGTCCTAGGGTTCTGCTGGGGGTGACCTCGGTGCTGACCCTACTGGCTAGTTGGTAGGTGTGTGTGGCTGTTGGGGCAGCGAGTACCAGCCCAAAGGAAAGATGGGGGGCCTGCCCCGCATAAGGACCTTTCTGGCTGCAGTCAGCCTGCAGGGCTTGCCGACACTCACCGCTGCACAAGGGGCGGGGGGGCCCACACCTGGAGGCCTGCTGGCCTTCTGATCAGGATCCCAGAGACAGGAGCCAGGGTTTTTCGCGTTGGCTGAGGGAACAGGAGGCACCCTGGCCTGGCATATGCAGTCCTTTGAAGGGACCAAGGCTTGGGAGGACCCTCGGCCTGTTGGCACACCCTCCTCCTGTCCAGGCCCTCTTGGTGCTTCTTCGGAGGGCCCGGAGAGCATGGTTGGGGGCAGCTTCATGCGCCCCAGGGCCCACCTGGAGCCCCAGAGCTGCCCTTTCTGATGATGTGCTCAGGGGTTCATGCAAAGGGTCTGCTAGGATGGTGGAGTGACAGCTGGGGATGCCCCACCTGACCATGTTCGCCAGCTGCCTGCCTACCTGGGAAGGCTTCCGCTGCTGGCTCCACCGTGGCCACCCCATCAAGCCTGCGGGGAGAGAGGAGGAGGCTCTGAATGTACAGCCCAGCACCTGAGTCCAGGCCCCTGGCATCCAGGCCTGAGGATGGCAGAGGCCGCAGGCTGGCCCTTGTGTGACCATCCTGTCCTCCCAGGCCCACTGCTGTCAGCTCCTCTTCTCTCTGCCTGCACCTGGTGGGGGGGGGGGAGTGTCCCTGTGAGGCTCTGAGCCCTCAGCCCCTGAACCCCACCGTCTAATCCCAGACATGCCCATGGACGGATGGAGCTGGAGACGGACAAACCCGGTCCTGTCCACCCCACAGGCACTGCACGTGCAGAATGCATGCAGAATCCAGGGGGCAGCTCTGAGAAGTGGGCACCAGAGCTGCAGCGGGCCTCGCGGACATGCAGTCTGTGTGGAGGGGACGTGAGAGCTATGCTTATTTTCCAGCAGGAAGTGATGAGCGGCAGCCAGGACTCAGCGGGGGTGGGGCCATGGGGCACTGGCACCCCCCACGTGAGGCGGGAGAGGAGAGGCAGCGGGTGAAGACAGGAGGGGCCGGGCCCACACGTCTGAGGGCTGGAGACCCTCCCCTGTGGCCGCAGCTGCCACAGCTGTTCCCCTTGAGGCCCAGTCTCAGCATGTCTGTCTCGACCACTCCAGCTTCCGCTCTGCTGTGTGACAGGCTCACCCTGCCTGCCCACAGGGGAGGGTCACCTGCTCAGGAGGACCCAACTGTGTCCCTGTGTCCCTGGCAAGGACCACCTGGCATCGTCTCCAGGGAAATGCAGGTTGCCCACACGGGGCCCTGTGTCCAGCTGAGTCCTGGCCGCCTCCTCCGTTTCTCCTCTGGGTCAGACCCTCAGGCTCCCCACACATCCTCGGGGGACAAGGGAGCCAGCAACATGTGGATGGCCACCCCGGATCCTCTCTGGGAGGCAGAGTCCGAGGTGCCAATTATCCTGAATTATTTGCCCTGAATTATCCTCCAAAGGGACCTGGGGGAACAGGCAACACCCACCCCTGTCCTCCCTGGCCAGCGGTTTCCTGTTCTCAGAGCCCGGGGGGGCTCCTTGCGCAGGCTTGGGGACCCACCAGGTTCTGACCCCTTGCCAAGCTTCGATACCACATGCATGGTTTGGGTGATAAAAAATTAAAGACAAAAGATTTCAAAATTATTTCATTTCGAGTAGGGGAAAATGGGCCTTGGCTTGGACCCAGGAGCCACGTTAAAGATTTTGAAGTGCGGGTAAGGAGGGGAGGCGGATAAATAATTCAGCTCTAAGAATAACCAGAGCCTGTCAGGCTGCCAGCTTTAAGAGAAATAAACCGGGTTACAAGAATCCTGAGAGTTTTTACAGAACCCCCAGGGCTTCAAGAAAACAGAGGCAGGGTCAGGAAGGAGCCGCCGGAGGTGCAGGTTAACTTGACGGTTCTGGTGGACCTGTGGGCGCAGCTGCAGCCTGGGCGGTGTGTGAAGTGGCAGTTCTGTCTGGGCCCAGAAGTGCCGACTGGGCCCCCCTGGTGTACACAGCACTGGAATCAGGAGGGCTTGGAGCTGGGACACTTAATGGGCTGCCTCTCAGACTCCACCTGGACCCCAGGTCGGTGGGAAAGCACATGGGAGAGACCCATGACTTGGGTTTGGGTGGGGTGGGGAGGGATGCGGGAGGGGCTGGGGGTACCCCAAGGTCCTGCAGTCCCCCGCCCTGTGGTTAGAGTCTTTGTGCTCCTTTTTCTTGTGCTTCGGGTTCTTCATTGTCTGGTACCTGTGGGTTCATAGTTGTCATCAAATTTGAAAAACTCCTGGCCATTATTTCTTCAAATATTTTTTCCGTGTCCTCCTCACCGCATCACTTTGGAAGCTCTGATTTTTGTGTCTATTTGGCTGCTTGAAGTCGTCTCAGGGTTCAGTAAGCAGGATTGGTTTACTGGGTCTGGTCATGTCTTTCTCTCTGGGTTTCACTTTGGATCCACTTGCCCTCTTTACAGCTGTTACCCCTCCCTCGGACATTGCAGTTTCAACCTCCGGATGTTTGATTCAGTCTATTCATACCTTCCATGTCCTGTCCAGTTATCACCCATCCAGCGTCCTTGTCTACAGATTCTTTTAGCTCTGTCATTCAGGCTCAGTTTGATTGATGGTTTTACTCTCATTATGGGGCCTGCCTTCCTGCATTCTCTGCGTGCCTGGTGATCTTTGAAAAGATGCCAGACACTGGGGTTACCTTCTTGCAGGCTGAATACTTTCTATTCTTGTACCTATCCTCTGTGCTATTATGCTGCTTAAAAACAGTTTGATTCTTGTGGGTCTTTCTTTGAAAGTTCAGTGGGGTTTAAGGTAGGACCCTTGTGAGTATTATGCTGACCGGCACTCCGTGAATTCAGCCTGGCTGTGAGAATGAGCCCCCACTTTTCACATCTTGCTTGAGCTCTGGGCATGAGTCCTTTAGACCCTCTTGGTGGGTCTTTCCTGGCCTCCAGCATGATCGATCCTCACATGCACGGGTTGATCTGTGCTCTGCAGACTTCAGGGCTCCCTCCTCTCCAGGGCTTCTGTCTAGCAAACTCGCAGTGCCTTGGCTTTCCAGGCCTCCCACTCTGTCTCCCCTTGGGGGCACTCCTGAACCTGCCCGAGTCCCCTTCCTGCACCACAGTTGGAGACTCTGGGGGCAGCATGCTGGGGGCTGGTGGGCTCATCATGATGGATCCCCACCCTTCAACATCGGACGTGAAATGTCTCCAGCTCTGTTGTATATCTTGTCCAGTTAATTACATGTGTCCTCGTGGGAGAGCAAATCCGGCCCCTCGCGATACACCTTGGCTGGAGGCAGAAGTCTGAACAGACCAAACCGAGGCCTGGCACCCAGAGAGCCCCAGCTCGTCTCCCAGTGACCCACCCTGAGGGGTGGGACTTCTTGGTGAAGGGCGGCCTCCAACTCTTGCCCCCTCACCCTGCGCCTGCTGTGTGGGGTTGTCCTTCCAGGCCCCCCAGTGGCATCTCGATCTGAAGGATGTGTCCCTGTGAGATGATGCTTGTAGTGAAGCCCCTGGTGGCCCCCCAACCCCTCACGAGGACTGGGGGCCTTGCCCTCTGCCAGTCCACTGGCTGTCCCCTGGCCATGCCTTTCCCTTCCGGAGGCCCAGAGAGCATCCTTCTGGAGCTGGTGCTACATAGGACTGCACCGGCATCACAGAGGCCCCAGGAGTCTGCCCTGGGTCCTGTCCACGGAAATGACCACAAGCGTGTCTGTTCCCCAGGAGAGCCATTGCCAAGGCGATGCCCACTGATCCTGGGCACAGCGTGGGTGCCACAGCCAAGTTCCATGTTCTGTGGCTTCTCAGTGCTTTTCCTTATGTCTCAGGTTAAGAGAGCCAATGGGTAGAGATGAGAAAAGGGCCCTGATTGGACAAGAAGCTTGAGGCTGGTTGGCCAGACCCTGGCGAGTGGGGCACCTGCACACACCCCATTCTTTGGCTGGAGCAGAGTGGAGGCAGGCAGTGGGCTTCCCTGGCCAAGTGCACCAAGGGCAGTGGCGAAGTGGTTCATATTCTGGGGAGACTGGTTCCCTAGTGGGTCAGGGGTTCCCAGCGGCCCTGTCCACCACAGACCGACAGGGCAGGGGGCTTGGGGCATGGGTTCTGGCCCTGACCCTTGTGACTGTCAGTTTTCCAAGCTCTGAAATGGACACATAGGCAGGGCATGGGGTGTGGATCCCCAGACCTGATCTGGCCATGGCAACCAGTCTGTGAGGCTGACTGGCTGCGAGAGGGCGGGGGCCCCTTCCTGCAGCCTGATCAGGGGACAGCCCTGGGCAGTCTGGGTTGAGTCCAGACCCTGGCAGTGGTGGTGGTGGGGAAGGATCAAACCGGCGCTCATGGGAGCCCAGTCAAGACATGAATCAGGGAAATGCCCTGATGGTCTGCAGCTCATGGGGGCCGTGGACCCAGGGCTACTGTGGCCCCCACTGAGAGCCTGTAAGAAACTTCCAAAATTGGAAGTCGGCTAATTGCAGCATTGCAGCTGACCCTGATTTGGGGCCAAGATGGAAACTGTCACTGCCTTCCGAGGGCCCCCGAGAAACAGGAGCCGCAGGCCACGAGCTCCGAGCCCTGGCCCAGGCGCAGGCCCGGTGTCTGGCCCAGCTCCTCTCCCGGGGAGCTCGGCCTTGTCTGCAGAGGCTCTCCTGTCCCACAGGGCACCTGCTGGTACTCAGCTCTGGGCCCTGGACAGTCTGTAGGGTGCTTTCTGTTTGGGGGTGCCTGCCTGCCTGCTGCAGGGGTCCCCCCCGGGGGAACTGTGGGTTGTACCTGGCAGGAGGTTTGTGAAGGGTTAAGGGCGCTGCCCAGCCTCCAGCTTCTCCATCTGCCGTGGGAGTGATTCTTCCAGGCCTGCGTCAGGCGGGAAACATCCTGCCGTGCTGGGGTGGGGGGCAGTTGGGGCGCCGGAGCCACACGGCCTGGCCAGCTGTTCCCACCCGGCCCCCACACCTGCTCTGGTTTGTTATTCCCACTCCGACAAGGCTCACTTCTCAGTCTTTGAAAGTCTCTAATGGCGGTGCAGAACCTGCCTGCCCATGCAAGAGACGCGGGTTCGATCCCTAGATCAGGAAGATCCCCTGAAGAAGGAAATGGCAACCCACTCCAGTATTGTTGCTTGAGAAATCCCATGGACAGAGGAGCCTGGCAGGCTACAATCCATGGGCTCGCAAAGAGTCAGACACAACAAAGCAACTAAAAAACAACAGAAAGAAGAACTTTCTGTTTTTCTCATTTTCCATGAACACTCACCCAGAGGCTCTCCTAACTGGGGTGGGGTGGGGGTGGGGAAGAGGGCCTTCACTCTGGTCCTCATGTGGGGATTCTTTGGGTCATCTGAGATTCAGTTCTAAAGAATTTGCCTGCACACTCTAGGGCTGACCTCTGGGTAAGACACAGAGAGGAGAGTTTGTTGTTGTTCAGTCATTAAGTTGTGTCCGACTCTTTGTGACCCTATGGACTGCAGCACGCCAGGTTCCCTGTCCTTCACTATCACCCCGGGTTTGCTCCAACTCGTGTCCATTGAGTCGACGATGCCATCCAACCTCTGTTGCCCCCTCAACTCCTGCCCTCAATCTTTCCCAGCATCAGGGTCTTTTCCAATAAGTCGGCTCTTTGCATCAGGTGGCCAAAATATCAGAGCTTCAGCTTCATCATTAGTCCTTTCAATGAATGTTCAGGGTTTATTTCCTTTAGGATTGACTGGTTTGATTTCCTTGCTGTTCAAGGGACTCTCAAGAGTCTTTTTCAGCATCACAGTTCAAAAGCCTCAATTTTTTGGCTCTCAACCTTCTTTATGGTTCAACTCTCACATCTGTACGTGACTCCTGGAAAAACCATAGTTTTGACTATAGGGACTTTTGTCGGCAAAGTGATGTCTCTGCTTTTTAATACGCTCTCTAGGCTGGTCAGGATGCCCAGAATTGGCTCCCAGAAGCAGAGGGTGCAGGGAGAAGCCTGGGGGCTGAGGGAGGCAGGCAGCCCCCGGCCCGTGGCCGTGGGGGGAGTTGCCTGTTTACTCAGTCATGAGGGCTGAGGTGGGCCCCATTCCTACCCCATGGCTGGGGGTGCACCTCTCTCAAGTCTGCCTGCCCAGCCTCACCAGGCCTGCCCCACTGGGCCCTGCACACCGGGGAGGGGGTGCTGACGCTCAAGACAGCTCCAGTGCCCCCAGGGCTGTCTGGGACTTGGCAGGGAGGGGGACAGCAGGCAGGACACAGGCTCAGGGTGGGTAGCCTTTCAGGGGGATGAGAGCCTGTCCTAGGTGCTTGGCGGTCACGGCGACCCTGCATGGAGGTGGGGCTCGTGGGCCTTGGGCATCAACTATCTGTTCAAGTAAAAAATTGTCTCCATCTGTGTTGGCTAATGACTGATTAAATGACTAATCACGGAAGTCTTAATTAAACCCATTTTTCTCCGAGCGAGCGGGGGAGGGGCCCTGTTCCCAGCATGTGTTAGGCTCTGGCCGGTCCTCCACGGAGCAGTTACGGGCAAGGTCAGTGCAGTCACTGCGCTGATGGGGCTGCAGTCGTGTCTTTCCGTGGCAGAGCCAGCGCTCTGGGTTTCGGGGAGGATGCGGCCGGAGCCATAGGCTGTGCGTTTTGACGGGAGTCCGCTGTGTGGCCGGACAGGCTCGAGGCCACGGTTCTGAGATGGAGTCGGTCTTGTGCAGCGAGCGGACACAGTCTCACGTCAGCCAGGAGCTGCCAGGGCTGTGTCATGCTGTGAAATTCCGTAGCATGCCAGGAATGTTTCCACAGGAATGCGGCGGGGCCGGCGGCGGGGCCCGGGCTCGCCTCGGAAGCAGCGCCGTGCAGGGCCGCCCGCCGGCCTCCCTGGTCCTGGGGCCACCCTGTGTGCACACCGTCTCTCCCAACCCGGAGCTCAGAGCTGGCGACCCGGGCAGGCTCCCCTAATCGTGCTGAGCCAGCCACTCAGGAACCAGACTTGAGATGTGACAAAGCCGTGAGTGTGATTGCCAGGAAGGGCTGGAGGCCTGCGGACACAGGCCATTCCCAGGGGAGGAGGTCAGGGCGGCCACACCTGTCTGTGACCCCCGGGCTCAGGCCCTCCAGGGTTGTGCACGCGCAAGGCCCCTTCCAGGCCTTGACTCTCTGGGGGTGGGGTCTGTGGTGAGGGGTCCCAGTGCGCTGAGGCCTGGGAGTCCCAGGACTTGGCAGTACCTGGGCACCTCTTCTCTGAAATTGGGGCACTCACCACAAGACCAAACATTCTGTCTTTGCCCAGACCCCTAGGCCAAGGGTGCTAGTCTGCACAGTGGATCCCTTCCTCCATTGTGTTTAGGGAACATGAAGGGAGTTTAATTAGACCTGAACATTGTTGACAAAAGGCCAGAAGCTCCTCCTGAAGGCGTCCCCTCGTCTCGTGAAATAATGACCCACTCGGCCATGAAGCTGGGGGTCTGTGTCTTGCCAGACCTTGTGGGGATGAAGAGACAGTGTTTCAAACCTTCCTGTTCTTGGAACCCCTTGATGATGACAATGGGTGAAGCTAACACATGACCATGTGAGGTGTCCTGTGGCTCTGGGGGGTTACCAGGTGAGGACACACGGGGGCCCCAGGGTAGCAGGGCAAGGAAGGCAGTGACTGAATTTGGGGCCATGCAGGCTGTGGGCCGCCGGAGCCTGCTCTGAGGGTCAGGTGGCCCCGGGGCCTCAAGGTTGGCCTGTCCGGGGCCCAGCCCTGCAGTTGGCCGCCTGGGCCCCTTCCTCGGTCACCAGAAGCTGAGGAACAGCTGGCCTGCCCTGATCTCCTCCTGGGCCACCACCTGAATTCAGCAGCTTCTTCCACCCTTCCTGGACCTTGGGATCTGACACCGAGAGGTCAAAACCACGGGCCAGCCTGGAGGCTCCAGGGTCATGGCCGAACTTGGGCCTGTGGATGGGGCATGGACAAACTCGGGCCCCGTGGGCAGGATTTTGGGGAAAATGGAAGGGTTTTAAATGCCAGCTGCTGCATGCCCGCTGACCAGACATCAGGGGTGGGCTGGGTTATGCCCTGCTGGGCACTCCGTGCTCCTGTCTCGCTCCTTGCAGGTGGTCAGGAGGACTGTCCCTTTGCCCCGTCACGTCATGGGGAAGATCTGTGCAAACATCCTGCCCCTGGTGGGGGTTGGCATCGGTGTGTGCTAAGTTGCTTCAGTCATATCTGACTCTTTGCGACCCCATGGACTATAACCCACCAGGCTCCTCTCTCCATGGGATCCTCCAGGTAAGAATACTGGAGTGGGTTGCCATTTCCTTTTCCAGGGGATCCTCCTGATCCAGGGATCTAACCCACGTCTCCTGCATCTCTGGCATTGCAAACGGATTCTTTACCACTGAGCCCCTGGGGAAGTCCCAGCAGGCCCAGCTGAAACAGTGTCCACAACCTCACAGGGAGTCTCAGTGCAAACCAGGTGCTTCTCATTTGCCTGAGCCAGTTGCTGGAAAGGATGGATTTCTCAGAAAACCTAAAGGTGGGCTTTTAGGGTCCAGAGCCAGGTTTGGATGCTGGTTCAGGGTGCTGGTGCCTGAACACGTGTGAGGAAGTAGTGGCGGGGATGGTGGATCAGGAGGCCCTGGGGGCCTCGGGCAGGCTCCCTGCCTCTTCTTTGGGTGGGAGCCTCGGACATACAGACACCCACTGGGGTGGGGGCTCAGGGGCACAGAGCTGGGCCTGGATTCAGGTCTGGAGACCAGTGCCCGCAGGAAGGAAAGGCACTCATGGCTGCAAAAGCCTGGCCTGAGGCCTCAGAGGCAGGCTCAGGCCGGGTAGGAGGGCTTGGGCCGGGGCGCTGTGGGCCAGGCCAGGGTTGCCTGTCCACGCTGGCTCGTGTCTTTAACCAAGGTAACTCCAGGCCCATGGGGAGCTCTGTACATGGACACCTGTCTGTCCACAGCCAGCATGGCTGGGGGGTGGGGTGACCCGGGAGCTTTGGGAGAATATCTCCCCGGGGCTTCTGTATTTGGAGAACAAGCTCGGAGGAGCTCCCCAGGGAAAATGGGCCAGACTGCCCCTTGGGCCAAGATGAGGGAATGCAGCAGAGCACAGGGACCCTCTGCGATGGTCCCAGCCTAGGTGAGGACACTGCATTTCAAGAGCTTGGAGAGCCCTTGGCAGAGCGGACGGTGGGAGGAGGAGCTGGCTGCTCCTGTCTTCTCAGAAGAGGACAACAGTGAAAGGCTCCTTTTTTGCTGAAATCAGACATTTCCACATCAGCCTCAGCTGCCGAGTTGCCACAGTTACTGAATCCAGCACACGCTTCGCCGTGAGCATCTGGGCCTGGGCTGTGTTGTGAGTTAGTTCTGGGGGTGTTTCAGCCTTTGGCCGGCTCGCACGTCCCTAAGACCGAAACACCAGGTGATGTGGGGTCTCCGTGTCTCGCAGGAGCCTTTTCTTTTTTGGAGCCTGTGTTTCTTTGGTTGTTGTGTGAAGTGAGCTTCATATTTAGTTCACACACCATGACTCAGAACCATGGTGCAGAAGGGTGGCCCCTTCCTCTGGAAATGGTGCATCCCCACTCAGCCTGCGACCCCGTGCCAGCCTCCGAGTGTCCCGGCCGGCCCACGCCTGCTGGCGTCATCGTCACTGATGAGCAAGCTAATTGCAGAGTGTTGGCGGATGCAGTGGCTCAAGGCCACTTGCCCCTGCCCGTTTGGCCTGCATTTCTCATTTTCCTAGAGTTTTGTGTCCACGTCTCTGCCTGCTGGCCTCTGCTCTTTTGCATGGCTGTTTCCACGTGTGCCCTAGGCTGGTGGCAAGAGGTATCCATGGCACCCCAGCCATGACTCCCAAGGGCTGACGAGCCTCATCCTGGGGTTGGAGGCCAGACCTTGGTGGGAAGTGGGAGTCTCGGAGGGCCTGAATGGCCACATCCTCCCCTGGGTCTGGGTCTCTTCTCCAGAAGGAAGCTTCCTGTCTTTGGGGTTCCATTGCCGAATTGCCAGCCAGGTCTTCTTTGCCTGGCCACACCTCACAGGTTCCACCCCAGAAGGAGACCTCAGGTGGGGGCGGGCACTGGTGGCTCCTTGGGGGCTGCCCGGTGCTCAGGGCTCTCAGGTGGGTGAGGATCAGTCCCGCCTGAACCTCTGGAGCTGTGGGGCTTGGTGGGGAGGTAGGAGGCAAGGGGGTCCCAGGAATTTCTCTGGAATCCAGCCTTCCTCCTGAGAAGGAACAGCTGAGGGATGTCCCCTCGCCTCCCCCCAGACCCCCATGCAGCCCTGCCTGCTTCTTCAGACAGAAACCTGAACTCAGCCTGGGTGAGCTCTGGTCTCCTTGCCTACAGGCCCTGTGGCTGTGGCCCTGGGTGTGTGACAGCCTGCACAGACAGAAAGGGAGGTACACAGACAAACTCCAGGCCACGGTGCCTGCCGTCTGAGGGCCTGCTGCCCACCCGGTGGCCCCGGCCTCTGTCCACATGCCAGAGTGACTGCAGGCCCCTTGAGGGAGGGGACCCCCTGTGACCACTCTGCTCCCCTGGCCTCAGGCCTGCCTGGGCGAATCCCCACGTGGACAGCTGCGGGACGTGGGTGGGCTCCACCCAGCTGCCCGCTCCCAGGCAAGGCCCTCAGTGCAGGAAGATCGCCATCCTAGACCAGGCCCCGGGCTCCATGGCGTCTGAGTCACCTCAGGCCCCGGGGATACCGGGCAGGCTGGTGGAGAAGGCCCCCATCCTGGGATGCACACACCTGGGAGGCCTAGCTGTGGCCCAGCTGATGGGGAGGCCAGAGCAACCCCAGCGCCGATGAGTGCTCTTACCTGCTGCCTCCTGGTGGGCCTTGCGCTATGGGCATTGTCCCCCCATGGTCCTGGCCTCTGGGCCTGCTGCCCACCTTTTAGAAGCAGTGGGTGGGGCAGGGTTCAGCTCCCAGCTCCCCCATGCATGGCACCGGTGTCAGGCTGAGCCCTGTCGGGGGTGTCCCGCCCCTACCTCGCGGAGGCCCTCCAGAAACAGGACGGCGTGGTACCCTGGTGGTGGGGGCCCAAGGCGGACATCGGAGAACTGGACGCAGCCTTGCTCTGCTCGCCGACGGTTCCCGGGACAGCTGGGCTCGTGCCTCCCGGCTGAGGGGAAAGAGGATTCCAGAAAAACAAAGGAAAAGGCCCTTTAAGTATCACAAAACAGAAGTCAGAAAGGGCATTTCCCATGGCCTCTCTGAAGTGAGACTTGTGTGGCTGAGGTTGTTGGGCCATGGATAGCCACATGGGCCCAAAGGGGGGCCTGGCGCTACTGCCCAGAGTGCCGGCCACATGGCCATCTCCAGGGGAGTGGCTGGGCTGGCGTAGACAGAGGGCTCCATGGGGTGTGGTTTTGGGTCCACCGCCCCTTGATGCCCCCTTGTCTGCGGTCCACCACCGGGACTGACAGGTGATGCTTTGGGCTGAGGGGGCCTCCTGTCACAACACCTGTGCCACTGAGGCCCTGAGTGTCCTGGACAGGACTGGACAGGCCCCGGGTCAGAGGCCTTGTGTTCAGCCAGGCAGAGCCTGGTGCCCTCTTCTGAACAGTATGACCGGAGAACATGCCTCCTTAATGAGGGCTGCCCCATGTGGTGACGTCAGACCACACCCATGATATGCACAGAGCATGGAAGGGCCCACAGCCACTAGCCCAAGGGGTGGCTGCCCGCCCAGGGGACCTGAAACCCACTAGTGCTGGAGAACGTCAGAGGGCTGGGTTTAATCTGCCTGTCCTGCCCTGGGGACCCCACTGGGACCCCTGCCCACTCTGGCTTCCTCCAGCCCGTCTCCCAGGAGTCCTAAGGTGTGACAGCCACAGGGAGTGCTTCCACCCCTCCCCTTCCCCATGTCTCTTCTGCCTGCGGGGGACCCTGCAGTGTGGTGCTGTGCAGGGCCACCCCACGACCATCCCAAACAGGCGCACATCAGGCTTGTTCTCATATGGGGTTGGACTCAGGGCTCTCCTGACACCCTGTGCCCCAAGGGCCCTGCCCACGTGTACGAAAGTGGGGAGGGGCCTCGGGGAGGTGGCTGGACACTCCTGCCAGCCGACTCTGCAGGGTGGACCCTTCATCGGCCCCCTCGGTGGGGGTCTGGGTGAGTGTAGGGGTGTCTCTTCATTGGGCCCCTCGGCAGGGGGGTCTGGGCGAGTGGAGGGGTCTCTCCTCCATACTCTGGATGGGGTCCTGGGGTGCAGGCATTAACACCCCTTCCCTGGAGCCCAGCTTCTGCAGGAAGAGGTGAAGAAGGACCCCAGAAGTATTTCCAAATTACAGGTGGGAAATGATTTCTCTCGGCGGGGTCTTAATCTCATTGTTATGGCGCATTATAAAAGCAGAGTCTTTGCTCCCGCAAGGACGTCCTCTGTGCACGCCGTCTCCCCGTCAGCTCGGCTGCCTGGACACCGTGGATGTCCTAGGCAACGACGGGAACGCGCTGCTGACGGAATCGTTTCCAGCTCTTAACGCACCACGGCTTCTGTGCAGCTTCGTGGGAGCTAATATCTCCCACCTCTGGACAGTAAAGACCCCGCGCTGTGTCCTCTGCCAAGGTGACCGGCTAGTGGGCCCCAGATGGAGCTGGGCTTTCTGAGGCCATGGTTCCTCCTGGGCAGCAACCAGACCTAGGCCCGCAAAGCACCGTACCGGGGGGCCTGTGTGGAAACACAGCTGGTGTGCAAGTCCGTGCACGTCCACACCAAGCCCGAGCTGCCGCCCCCTGGCTCTGGGCACCGACGGGGCTGCTGGAAGAGGACGATCAGTCCTCCCGACCCTGCAGGACGGCTGGAGCACAGATGCTCCTGTGTCTGCCCCGCGAGTGAGGAGGGACTGAGGAACCGAGGCTGGACCGTGGAGTGAGACCCCAGTGCTCTGGGTGCACACACGACCCTGAAACCAAGCAGGCGGATGTGGCGAGGAGGGGACGCCAAAACCCTCCGTGACAGCGGCTCAAGACTGCCTCCGCCTGAGCCACCCTGACCCCCAGGAAGCCTGCTTACTGTCCAAGGACAGAAGAGGGAGGGCTCTAAGACCTTTTAGTTGCGAGTGACAGAACCCAGCTCTGTCTAGCTGAAATCCCATAGGCAGCTCTATCTGCAGTCCTAGGAGGGAACCTTCTAGATTCAGGGACATGTGGACCCTGGCCTGGGGCTGGGGGCTGGGGTGGCCTCACCAAGGGGGCGGGAGGCTGCCTTTGGAGTTGGGATCATGGACATAGGAGACGGGGGAGGGGTGTCCATCCGCACAGACGTGCAGTGTCCATGATGGACGGCTGGCAACTTCCTGCCACCTCTGTTCACGGGTCTCAAACCTTTCAGGAGGATCCCCTAGCTGCCCACTGCCCTCCCTGGTGATTGCCACCCCACTGAGCCTTTCGGCTCGGCTCCAGGCTCTGGATGTCCAGTCTATCCCTCACGCTCCAGTGCATGGATCCATCTCTGCCTGTACCCTGAGCACGAGCTGATCCTATCCTTGCTCATGGCTGAGCAGTGCCAAGCCCTCTGGTCCTTGGTGCTGCTGGCCTCTGCCCACACTTCCCCATCAGGTCCTTGCTGTGGGCACGATGACCCCTCCCCACCCTGTCTGCCCTGTGTCCAACCTGGTCCTGAGAGTTTGAACCACCCATAGGAGAGGTGGGTGCCCCACGGGAGGGAAGACCCCACTTCTGACAACAGACTCGGCCACAGAGACCCCGCCAGGCCCTTGGCTGCCGACTGCCCTCCCTGGTGGGGACAGGCTAGCCGTTCCCTGGCCGAGTGTGCATGGGCCAAGTGGCCACTTCAAGTGTACCCAAGTCCTGAGGATGCTGCAGGAGAGGGAGAGAGCCCCTACCCCTCGTGTCCTGAAAGGTTATCACTCCTGGGTGAGGGTCCTGCCTGGACCTCCGGGGCCCTTGAGGTGGCTCCTGGCATGTTTCTGCAGCCTCCTCAGCCAGGCGGCCCCACGAGCAGGTTCGCGACTCCAGCTCTCTGGAGTGACTTCCGAACCTTTCTGTCGATTTTAATTACATCAATTACGGCTTTATCAGCAAGATAAAGGTCACTGTGCTGCCTCCAGGGAGCAGGAGGCCGAGCTGGCCAGGGAGAGCGGGCAGCTTGACCTCTCTGGGAGGGAAATGCCAATTAATTATCTTTTTACAGCCGACTCAATTAGACTCCCTAATCACCTGTGTAGGACACAGAGGAGGCGCAGAGACCTCGGGAATAAGCACCACTGCTGTGGGCCCGGTGTCTCCCAGACAGCTGGCTCCAGGCGGGATGTTTGCTCTCTCTCAATACTTGAGCCTTGAGAGGTTATCAGCCTGAAGAGGACGAGCTAGCCCATCTGTTGGTGACCAGACACACCACGCCAGTCTCAGGGTGGACTCCATCAGCAAAGGGCTGGCTGGTTACAGAGATGGACACCTGGGCAGCCGGCAGCCAGGGAAGCAGGGCAGTCCATGTGGGAAGGACACCTGGGGCCCTGGGTCTTGATGGCCAGGGGCAGGCGAGGCAGCCAGAGGGCTGGGGGGCCTCCCTGCCCTTCTGCAGCTGCCTAAGACCTGGGTGACAGCTCCCTCTGAGTTGTGTGCCAGCCCTCTGGGCCCTGTTTGTCCCTGGGTGCACACAACTCTGCAGGGGCCTGGAGTCTGGCTTGGAGGGTCTGCCTTCAGTGGGTCAGCTGCCTCCCCACCTGGCATAGGTGTGCACACACACGCACATGCGCACACAAGTCCTGACTCTCACATGTCCCTGCCCAAGAGGCCTCCAGCCCCAGGACCACTGTGCCCTGTGACCCCCTCCATGGGCTGCCTGGTGCCAACCTGTGGGTGTGGTTGAGGGTGCCAACCCCACCCCTGAACAACTGAGCTGCCCCCACAGACCAGGCCTCGGTCCTGTCAGTGATGTTTGCCTGGGAGGGCCTCCTAATGTCTGTCGAAAAACCTCTTGAACCTCCCCACAGGGCCTCTTCTCAGGCCTGCCGTGGTTCCTGTGGGAAGGGGAGGGGGAGGAAAGAGGAAGTGCCACCCCCCACAGTCACTGGATGCCTGAGCGAGCTCCCCCAACACCCGTCCTGGCGGCCATCCTGCAGAGCTGTCTGGGCTTCACTTCCCATGCAGTAGGCCCGAGAGCCGGGGTTCCCGCAGCAGTGGACCCATGCTCCTGTCCAGGGAGGCGACAGTGACAGGAACACTGGAGTCAGGGATAAGCAGCTCTGAGCTGCTGACATCTGACAGGTCAGTCTGTCCTGTTGGCTGATGGGGTGAGCAGTGTGGCTGGGAGAGTCGAGTGCACCCTGAACCCCCCAGGTGACCAGAGGTGGAGCAGGGACCCCTAGCCCCTCTCAGTCCTGCCCTCCTGACCTTGGAGCCAGGAGTCATTTCTGGTGCCTGTGAACCACTTGATACCAGGAAATGGTCCAGGAAAGGAGGAGGTAAGAAAGGCCGTGGTTGGTTGTTTGAGGCCAAAACTGCCTCAAAACCCTGCAGGTGGGTCTGTGTGGCAGGGACCAGAGTGGATAGGCTACTGTGCCCCAAGCATGGCTGACATTCACTCAGAATCCTCCTTTCTGACCCCACCTGGCACCCCCTGGACAACACATCCTCTCTAAGGGATAGGCTGTGAGCATCCTTCACTAAGTGAGGATTGTTTCTGTACAGAAAACAAAGCCAGAGCCTCATCCATTTCCTCCTGGCTCCTCCCCATCTCCCAGGGTCCCTGTCTACCTGGGCCTTCCTCCAGCTTCACTGTTGCTCACCTCTGCTGGCTCCTCCAACCCTAAACATGCTCCTTCCTAGACCTCCTTTCACACCTTGTTTGGATGCTGATACCCTGAGGAGTGAAGCCTGCTTCTCCTGGACAGTCCCTCCTGGCTCTTATGGCCTCAGTTCTTAGGTGTCCTTGGGACCAGCTCTGCCTGCTGCATTGTCCTCACCACCCTGGATACCGCCATCATCCCCATCCACTGTCTTCATCAACACCATCATCATCCTCATCACCACCACTTCACCATTTTCATCACCATCACCACCATATCATCACCATTATCACCACCATCACCACCGTCATCACCACCATGACTGTTCTCACCTCCACGGTAGGGTCACTCTGCACTCTCCAGGGGCCA